AGCTCCAGGAGCGTTGGGACAACACTGTGAGGGACAGGGGAATTGCTGGGGTGTCTGTGCAGGGCCAGGGGTTGGACTGGATGATCCTTGAGGATCCCTTCCAGCTCCACATATTCCATGATTCTGTGATTCTTTGAAGTGCTGACCATTCACCTTCATGGTTCCCAAGTTCAGGTGTCATTCAGAGCTCTCTGTGTATCCTGCATTTTCCCTGAACAGCTCATTTCCAGTCCCACAGGAGCCTGGTCCCAGCAGAGTGGGAGAACAAACAGAACAGGGATGGGATGTGTTGGGAGAGGTGCTGCCTCCAGCTCCCTGACTGGAGGGGAACCAGGGGGGGTAACAGGAGAAAGGACAAGAGGAAACGGCCTCAAGCTGTGCCAGGGAAGGTTTAGGTTGGATATCAAGGTTGGATATCAGGAAAACGTTTTTCACTGAAAGGGTTTCCAGCCCTGGCACAGCTGCCCAGGGCAGTGGTGGGGTCCCCATCCCTGGAAGTGTTCAGAAAACCTGTGGATGTGGGTTAATGGTGAAAACAGTGGTGGTGCTGAGCTGATGGCTGGACCTGATGGTCTTAAAGGTCTTCTCCAACCTGAATGATTCCATGACTCTGTGGATTACTGTGGCAGAAGGAAGTGCTCCGTGCTGGTGACTTTGTAGGAGACCTCACCCAGAGCAGAGCTGCCTGGGGTATCGTGGAATCATGGAATTGTTTGGGTTGGAAGGAACCCTAAAGCTCTTCTCAGAATCACACAACATTCTGAGTTGGAAGGGACCCCCAAGGACCATCCAGTCCAACCCCTGGCCCTGCACAGACACCCCAGCAATCCCCCCCTGTCCCTCAGAGCGTTGTCCAAACCCTCCTGGAGCTCTGGCAGCCTTGGGGCCGTGCCCACTGCTCTGGGGAGCCTGGTCAGTGCCAACCACCTCATTCCACCCCTGCCCTGGGCAGGGACACCCTCCACCAGACCAGGCTGCTCCCAGCCCTGTCCAGCCTGGCCTTGAAGTGTCCTGGGGAAGCTGCATCCCTGGTGTTCCTTTCCTGAGCCCTCCACTCCCTGAGGAAGAGCCGGGTGAGGAGGGCACTGCCCTGGCAGGGGCTCAGCTGTTTTTGGGAACTGGGCACTGTTTCCCTGCATCCAGCTCTGCCTCAGTCCCCTGGGAAGGAGAGGAGCCAAACAAGGCTGTGAGGGAGCTGTGCCTGCCACACTTTGTGGGAGCGATGGAGTCACCGGGAGAGGGGAGGTGCCGTAAGGACGGATGTTGCCCACACATCCTGCTGCTTATTCTACATTCCTCGTACCTATCCCTGCTCCTGAGCTGCTTCCTGGAGGGTGGGCAGCTCCAGGATGCTGCCAGCTCTTTGTGGGTGCTTAGCTCAGATTTTCCTCACTCTCCTCATTGCTTTATATTCCCATCCCAAGGACAGCCCTCCAGGAGAAATCCCAGCCTGGTGCTGCTGATGGCATCCTTGAGAAAGCAGGGAAACATTCCAGCCCAAAACCTTCCCCAGTGGCTTATATCAGCCTTTAGGATATGCTTTTCCAAGGCCTCCATGTCTTGGCTTGTTCATTGCTCACACTCATCAGTGAGTGGAGGATCCTTGGGTGTCTCCACAGTGCTGCCAACTCTGGGATGTGTCAGGATTAGCCAGGAGAGTCAAGGATGGTCCTGCTTCTTCAGTATTCCTGCAGGGAAACAGCAATTCTGGGCCTTTCCTGTTATCCTGAGATTAGGTGGGTGACCTCAAATCATAGAGAAATCACAGACAGAAGGGCTGAAGGGGACCTGGGAGTGCCCCCAGTTCACTTGTCTTTGGGGACACCTCTGCCTATATCTTCCCTTTCAGATGCTTGTTCAGGCTGTTCTCCCTAGTGATGGAGAATCCCTCCTTTCCTCAGGCTCTGCTCCCACTCCTTGTTTTCCTGCTGCCTAACGTTTTATACCATGGTTAAAGCCACAGTTCTTCTGTGTCCTAAAGCTGAATGTTCACATTTCCTCATATTTACCCTTTAAATGTATAGAATCTACACCAGGATGGTTCTGTGGCTCTTTGGTCTTTCTAGACTAAACCTGTATTTCCTCTGAGTCACATTTGCTGGATTTTTTGATCTTTCTTGTTCTTACCTGCACTGACTCACTGTTCCCACTTGAACTGCAGTGCCCTGTGTGAGGTGTTCAGAGAATTAGAAATCTACTGGGTTTTTTGCCTTGCAGTTTTCCTGTTCTTGTGCCCTTTCCTAGAAAAACATGAACTTGCCTCATGTTAGCTTGAACTCCTGCATCTCTTTCTAGCACCAGTGTAAATCAGTTTTTCATTATTTATTAATCAACTATTTCTGCTGAATGTGGAACTTTGCATTTGTTCTCACTGAATTAACCCCTCCTTCCACCCCCCAGGCCACTTCTCCTCTTTGTTACCATTGTGGGGTCTTGAGGCCATCCAGGAGTGCTGGAACACAACAGACTCCTCTGGAGAACCCTTGGGGTTCCCTTTTGAGATCCCTCTGGTTCCTCAGAGCAGTTCCACAGCCCCCCAGCTTCATCTGGTCCAGGGCAAAGTTGCTGAAATGCCATTCCTGGTTTATCAGTTGTGGTGATCAAAGGGGACATCTAATGTTCAGCTGTCACCCAGGCTGTGTGTCTCCCTTTATCAAGGTGTCAGATTGCTGCAAACTGCTTTTTGGAATGCTGCAGTTCGTGTGTATCTGTGGCATGTCCTCTCTGCCCGTCCTGGGACCTCCTGAGCTCACTGGGATCCTCTGAGTTCTCTCCTTGGCTGGTGCTGAGGTTTGGTGGGCAGTGGGCTCTGCCAGCCTGCAGGAAGTGCCACTCCTTTTGCAAGGGCTACTTGAAAAGTAACACCTATCAATGTTAGAAGAATACAATTTTGCCTTGAAAAGCTCTGGTGGGCCTTATATGGAGCTGTGCCAGGGCAGGGTCAGGTTGGATCTCAGGGAAAGGTTCTTCCCCCAGAGGGTGGTTGGCACTGACCAGGCTCCCCAGGGCAGTGGGCACGGCCCCAAGGCTGCCAGAGCTCCAGGAGGGTTTGGACAACGCTCTGAGGGACAGGGGGGGATTGTTGGGGTGTCTGTGCAGGGCCAGGGGTTGGACTGGATTGTCCTTTTGGGTCCCTTCCAGCTCAGGGTGCTCTGTGGTTCCATGGTGATTGGTTGCTTTTCCACACCCCACCAAAGTTAGAAGTGGGATAACAAGGGCTGACAAGAGAAAGAAAGGAGTGAACTCCAAAACCCAGTGGGATGGAAGTGCCGAAGTGTAAAGGCCTTGCAGCCACCCCTCACACTGGTGCTGGTTACAGACCACGTTGACCTAACTGAAAGCTGCCTTTAATCAAATAAAAATGAAAGGAAACATCAAAACACTCTGACAGGCCTGATCTCCCTGTGAAAGGTGTGATCCTGTGGGACACACCAGAGCATCCAGGATCAGCCCAGGCAGGGGCAGGACCCCTGGACTGTGTGGGGTGGAGTAAAGCCACCTGTCCCCATTCCACCTCCTCTGCCCCTGCACACCCAGGGTGGTGCAGAGAGAGGAACTCACGTGCTGCTGGGTTGTGTTTGTCCTGGGGAAGGTCCCGTGGGCTGGAGGCAGCTGGAGGTTGGAGTTCAGTCATTCCCATCCTTCAGGCCTGTTGGAACAGGGTTTGGACTTTGTTCAGCACAGCTAAAACTGAGATTAGCTCAGCTGGTCAGAGCCTGGTCCTGCTAATGCCAGGGTTGTGGGTTCAGTCCCTGCAAGGGCTGTTCCCTCAAGAGCTGGATTTGAAGAGCCTTGTGGGTCCCTTCCAGTTCAGAATATACTGGGAAAACTGATGGAGCAATCCATGCTACTTTTAGAGGAGATGCTGGGAAAGCCATATCCCACAGGGCAATGAATTCCATGTTCGTTATTCCATATAAATACATCTCTTTCTCACAAGTTGTTTCCTGGGCAGAGCATCAACCTTTAACAGCTTCACACATTCAGGTGTTAGCTCTCTTTGCCCCTATGCAGCTGCAGGGTGATTTTGAATTTTTGGCAGTAGATATGTACCACAGTCAGTGTCAGCAATAACAAAATCTGGGGTTTGTTTCAGTTCGCCTTTGGTTTTGTTTAGAAAAACACCACAAGTTTTGGAAACCTCTCTCTCCTCTTGCAAAGTTAAATCTTTGGTCTTGCAGACCAGAGATTGAAGGCTACTCCCTTCTTAGAGTTTACCATTGGGAAGAAAAGGACTTTAGCCTTTATCCTCTACTCCCAGTTCGTGGATGGAGGAAGGAGGGAAGAGGCAGAGGATGGAATGGAGCAGAAATTGATACCCCTACAGATTTCCCATAGAATTGGGATTCAGAACTTGCTTTCTGTGCAGCCCAGACACTCAACATGATGATGCTTTATGTCCAGTGAGATCTTTGAGTGTTAAGTAATTCTTGTTAAGACAACAGGGTGGGTCCTACAAGGGTTGTTGTGGGGTGTGAAGGGTAGGAAGGTGTTACTGTCACCTCTGTTTTAACCCTCTGATTCCTGCTGAGCAGCCACAGCTCGTGCAGCTGCCAGGGAGGGAATTTTCATGTTGAGGGAACACACGAAATTCCCTCATACTGAGGGAATTTTCACTGAGGGAACAGCTGTGTGTGCACAGAGCTTTCTGTGTGTGCAAAGCCCTTTCTCCTGGGTGAGCCTGGCTGGGATCAGCCCACAGGAGCCCTCCTACATCAAGTCCCCCCAGCTCTCTGACGAGGAGCGTTGAGGTACCGGGTGAAGTCCCTGGGCCTGCTGGAGAATGTGGGTCCTGTAACAGGTCCCTGCAGGGTGTGAAGGGGAGGAATGTGTCACTGTCACCTCTGTTTTAACCCTCTGATCCCTGCTGGGCAGCCAAACCCTGTCCAGCGTTCCGGGGTGTGCTCCCAGCTCCGTGCTCTCCCGGTGTGTGCACAGACCCGGCTGTGTGTGCACAGCCCCTTCTCCTGGGTGACCCTGGCTGTGCTCTGTCCCCCCAGGAGCCCTACTACGTGCGCTGCATCAAGCCCAACGACAAGAAGTCCCCCCAGGTGTTCGATGAGGAGCGCTGCAGGCACCAGGTGGAGTACCTGGGGCTGCTGGAGAACGTGCGCGTGCGCCGGGCGGGCTTCGCCTACCGCCAGACCTACGAGAAGTTCCTGCACAGGTAAAGAGCTGCTGGCAGGGGCTGGATCAGCTCCTTGCAGGGCATCTCCACCCTCGGAGTGAGACGTAAAAAATGGTCAGGTTTTGTTTGTTTCTTCGTTGTTTTGTTTACTTCAAATGTTGGGAACGTTTTGAGGAAATATTTTAACGCACGTTTTGCAAAGTTGTCTTACCCTGATCCACGTCTCCCCCCCCCCCAAAACTCCCCATAAAACACACCCACTTTCATCTTCCTCAGCGCCATACTCTTCCACTTCACAACCCTCCTTATTCTGTTCCCTGTCACTGGAGCCTTAGAAAGCAAAATACCCAACTTGTAAACCACTTAAATAGTTCATGAAAAACATCAATGTTGTAGAGCAAAGGTTGAAGGCTACTCCCTTCCTAGAGTTTACCATTCAGAAAAAAAGGAATTAAACCTTTATCCCCAACTCCCAAAGCTGGTATTTTCAATTACACCACTTTCTGACACTTCCCTACCCTTAAACACCCCCCCAAATATTTCATGTGTTTGGATGCACTTCTTTGCATTAAACCATCTGCCCCTGTTCACATCTCCCTCATGCAGGAATTTTCATACAACCTGAATGTGGAAATCTATGTAAATGAGTGGGATTTGGCTCTCCCCTGGAGGGAAGTCAAGTCCCCTGGGACTCCTGATCTGTGGGTGTGTTTGGTGTAAATCAGCTGTTGGGTCTCACAGGGTCCCCGTTGCTCTGGTTTTGTGTCAGGGTGTGTGTCCTGCTCAAACCCAGCTCCTTGTCTGCTAAAATCCATTTGCTGTGTTACCCCACAGCAGGAATGTGTAATGAGGTTCTTCCCCAGAGCATAACCCTAAAACCTGAGCTAATTAACCTGAGTTTTCTCCCTGAACATTGATTGTTGCAGAGAGGGACAGACAGACGTGGTGTGTCTGGGGAATGTCCACAGTGACGTTGTGTGGGAGGAAACCCCTGGACTTCAAAACTGGATATCTGAGAAAGGGATGGTGTCATGGCCCCATTAAACATGTTTTTGATACTTTTTGCCCCCTTAATTCCCGCCAGACCTGTGGCAAATGACATGTTTTAGATTGAAATTTGTCTTAAGGCTTCAGTGATTTAACACTGGCCCTGCGAGTTCATCCTCCTCAGGTGGAACAGGGAATGGAGGTTCAGTTCTGTTACTGAATCAAGGGAGGAAAGGGCCAGGGGGTAGAAAAAGAATTGAACTATCTGAGCAGGTGAGAAGTCATGAGTTAGAAACAAAGTGCTGGTGAAAGACCTTTGGCTGTTCAGAGTGAAGGTTTGCCTGGATAGATCCTGATCCCCCCCAGTGGCACGAAAGGCTCCAGCTTCCTAAACCCAGCCTGCAGTGCTGGGGATCAGCTTCCCTGAACATCCTGCAGTGCTCAGAGTGTGCTTTCACCTCACATGTGGCATTCATTACAATTTCCTCCTAAGATCTGTGTAATCACTATTAATGTAAACAGCTGCTTTGTTTTTAATGAATGTTTGATGAGCTCCCCGTAAGCTGCAGCCCAGAAGTGTTTGCAGCCAGGAAACCAAATCAGCACATGGCAACTGCTTCAGCTTTTTTGGGCTGTTGGGACACGTGTTCTGCTCAGCCCTGGAGTGGGATTAAACCTCCAAACACCCAGGGTGGGATCAGACACTGTGTTTGTGTGCCGTGGGGTTGCTCTGAGCCTGCTCTGCACTGACTTCTCTGAATTAAAAGATGAGGGAAAATATTCCTCTGGCCTCCTGGCCTGGATATTATTCTTTGTTCCTTGTCTTTGGGTGAGCCATTCCCTCTTAGGGGCTGAGGGATGTGATCAGCTGCACATTCCTGAGCTGGTTTTGAGCAGGGATCACACGGGATTTCTGTTCCTTTATATTTACATTTACCAGGGTTATTGGGAGACTGGGAACGTGGAGGAGACTCCAGGCCCTTCAGCCTGGGCTCTTGCAGTGCATGTGGGGCCAGTCTTAAGGCAGGTCCTGAGTGATTTTGTGATGTAACTTCATCATCTGTTTGCTTCCATTCACAAAGATATCACAAAGTTCAGGCCCCAAAGCAGACATTTAACACTTAACTCCCTGACAGGCCCCTGAGGCTTTCAGGTGTTCTGAGCCCAGAACACATCCCTGGGTTTTGTGTTGCTGATTCCTCTTAGAGAGCACAGAAGGTCTAGATCAGGTTATACATAGATAAGAGATAACATATACATATATAATACATATATGAGGGCATGTATGCCTGGGTTTTATCTATATCTATGGACATGTGTATATAAAACATAACTTTCCTTTCTGTAGAAGAGTTTGTTGCTGTTTGGCCCTAAATCCTGTGAGGGAGTTGGTATCTCCCCTCTCCCAGCAGAAATGAAGTGAAGCACAGTCAAGACCATTAAAAAATGTCTTTTTAAACTTCCCTTGAAATGAAAAAAAACTCTTTGGGCTCTGTGCAAGCCAGGCTGCCCTCACCAATTTGTAGAAAGTGAGACCTGGATACTTTCAGCTGGATCAGGAGATGTTGTGCCTTCACTGCATCTTCCAGTCGGGTGCCACATGTGTTGCCTTCCATGGTTGGGATGGATTCTCTTGGTTTAATATAGAACTCACTATCCAAAAAAATGCTGATTGGGTTTCAGGCAGGTGGTTGGAAATGGATGCTCAGTGTGTGAGTGCCCTTGGAAGCTGTGGGATGTGCAGGCAGGCCAGGGCAGGGCTGTGGTGGCAGTGAGCAGGTTTATTCTGGGTTCTGCCTCCCTATAATTAGCAGCCAGGCTGGCACTGTGAGTGGCTGTGGCAGCCAGGCCGTGCTGGAGCTGTGGGGAGGGAGTCCTGGCATTGGGAGACACGTGGGAGGGACGGGAACAGCCGGAGTGCCGGGATGTCCCAGCACCTGTGGGACACAGGGAGGGGGGGCAATGGCCTCGGGGTGTCTTTGGGTGCCATAGGGGGTTTGTTGGAAAGGAGGAAGAGGATTTAACATTTGGGGCAGGTTTTCAGCTCTCTGACATCCCTTTCTCCTGCTCCCCTTGGCAGGACAGGCCTGGCTCGGAGCCTGGTCCATAGGCTGGTCCATGGCCTGATCCATAGTCATATTCCCAGCCTGGTCCATACCCTGGTTCCCAGCCTGGTCCATAGTTGTGTTCCCAGCCTGGTCCATACCCTGGTTCCCAGCCTGTTTCCCAGCCCTGGGGGTTGCACTCCCACCCTGCTTGGCTCTTTATTTGTAATTTTTCCAACGTATTTGTCTCAAGGTGAAAGATTTTCCCAGTGACTGAATTCTCGCAGGAACATTTTCCTGATGGGAGCAGGGAGGGGAACCCGTGTGCAGTGCTGATGCTTTTGCCAGCCAAGTGCACGTGCACAACCTTCTTCTGAGAGTCTGAAGAGGGGTTTTATAGGGCTCCTTATTAATCAGTGAGCTCCCTGTAACCTGGTGGTGTTCCCTGTTCAGTGTGCACCTCCATTTCCCCCTGTTCCACAGGATATTCCAAAGGCTAATTTGATGAATGAACGTGACACTGGGATGTGTTTCCTTCCAGGCTTATTTCAGCCTGTTCAGCACCTCCTGCAGTGCCCCCACCCCCAGGAAAAGGCTGATTGTGTGGCTGTTTAAGTGTAGCTGAGAGTTCTGAATGTCTGAAAGATTGAAATTAATGCTTGGCTGGGCTTGGGGGCTTTTAAGTGAGAAGTGGCTGTGATCGCTCCGTGCTTGTTTTATTTAGAACATGAACGTGGCTCCTATTGCAGGGAGAGTGTCTATTACAGTTTTTATTATGCCCATAAATCTGGTGCAGAAAATTCGTTGTTGCTTTTTTTTGCAAAGGCCTGTTCACCTAATCAGCACTTTGCAGGGCTGGGAGATCTTACAGAGGGCTGGGGCTGATCCTCATACTTTGTGTTTGATTTTTAGTTCTCCTGGTTCCAACCTGCATTTTCTGTAGTGGGAAAAGGGGCTTGGAGGGGGAGGATGGGAGGAATGGCTGACCCACAGCTCCAGGGCAGGGGTGGTGGTTGCACAGACTGGGGCAGTCGAGGGGCAGCTGCTGGGGGAAGAGACAGAGTCTGTCAGAACTTTGGCTCCCAAAGTGCAGAATTTTTAAATCTGGGTTTTCTGACAAAGCCACTGGTTGCAGGTGGCTTCTGATGCAGAGTGTGAGCAAACCAAAGCTTTCCTTTCTCACAAAAACCCCCCAGAATTAAAATTGTATGCCGAGTGTGAATAATGGAACTGCCAGACCTGCAGGAGGCCAGTGCTGAGGTTTGTCCTGTTGCATCAGCTCAGTGCTGATGAGATGAGCTCCTCCCAGCATTCTTTTCCAGCTTCTCACAAAACCTCTTATATTCGTTTTTCTTGGATTTTGAGGATCATGATTCCCCCAGAGAGCATCTTGAGGCTCTTCTCTATCAGAGAGGGACCTGGGAGTTTGGATTGACAAGAAGCTGAGCATGAGCCAGAGTGTGCCCAGGTGGCCAAGAAGGCCAATGGATCCTGGCCTGGCTCAGGAACAG